CGTGTTGTTCTGGTTATAACAGACAAATTCCCTCACCCATCTCTCTCCATTTAAACTTCATTTTCCCATCTTTAAAACTCTTCTATCTGCCAGTAATCATCCAGATATTTTCAGAAATGTCTGTTGGTTTAAAAGCTGCAAGAGATACCATGGCAATATGGTTTTCTAATTGTAAAGCTCATCAATTAAGCTTGTTATTGTAATCAATTTTGCCAAATTAATGTAAATGTTTGATGTTAAACTTTGATTCTGTTAATAAATGACCACGTTCATTTTGATGGGTCAAAGAAAATTAACGTCTCACGTCACATTTAATCATTCAAGGCACGATATTACTCAGTCCAGAAAAATGAAAGAATCCATTTAAATTATGAATAATATCAACAGGTATATGTTCATTACATATATATATATACATGTATATATATGTACATATATATATATATACTGTATTTGTATATATATATACTGTATAAATATATATACGAGATATGTCTCTGTGTGTATATATATATATATATATTATATATATAATATATATATATAGATCTTAATAAAAATGTATCAGTGACAGTGAGTTTTGCAAACGTGTCATAAGAATATTTTATTAGTGTTAATGTTAACCCCACCAAGAATATTTAAATACACTGAATCATGTGTTCAGCTTTAATGGCTGTACTCCTGAGATTTACAGAGGAAAAAATCGTGAGAATGAGTTTAGTATTCAGCTCTGACTGATTAAACGCGCAAATACTTCATTGCTCCTGACAAACAGGTCACACTGAGTGGAGCGGTCGACCGTTTCAAGGTGGCGGCCCTACAGCTCGTCAGCGCCAATAGGCGATAGAGGTCAATGCTGTATCTAGTGATTATATGATATCTATGACCGTGTCATCACTAATTTATGGGGTCCTATGACTCCGCTATTCGCAGAAGGAGAGCTCAGCCTATCAGTGTATGAGCGGGCATGACTAAGTGTGGTCTTATGTGTATTGACGTGTTAGGAAAAACATGAGACGGTGCTTCAAAGCCTTCCTACGTGATGTGGCAAGCAGATTAAAGTATTTCTTGACATATATTGAATCATCAGGGAGACTCTCAAGAGTTTGCTGGCCCAGTTTAACCCAGTCAGAACCGGGTCATAATTTCATTATAATCCCATCTCTGAGCAGATCCAAACCATAGGACTAGTCTAAACAGGAAATATCTTAACAATGGTTAAGGAGAGCACTAGGCGGGACGTGGTTGATATTAATGTTAGGTTTAGTATAACAGAAATAAAGGGTATAATAAAAAAAAAAATGAAGGAAAAGTGGCAAAAATTATGGGAGGAAGAAAGGAAAGGCCGGTGGTTTTATAAAATCCAAAGGAAAATTGGAGAAAGGAAAAGAACAGAAAGAAACAGGAGAGAAGAAACGGTTATTTCACGACTCAGAATTGGGCACACTGGGCTGAACAGCACATTATGTTTAATAGGGAAACATCAGACAGGGACATGTGAGTGTGGAGAAGAGGAAACCATAGAACACATTATTTTACATTGCAGGAGATACTAGGTTCAAAGAAACAAGTTGATTAGACATCTTAGTAAAATGAAAATGAAATTAGACATTATTGAATTATTGCAGAAAGATTCAGGAAACAGAGGCTATCAAGCTATATTTTATTTTTTAAGATGGTGTAGGTTGTAGAATAGGATATAAAAAGAAAGAGAGGGTTTTTTTTTTTTTTTTTGGTGGGGGGGGGGTTGTCATGTGATCCACACTCCTTACCAGTTGGTGGCGGTAATGCTTCCTTCAGTTGTTTGACAACCGCCAATAAAACAAGAAGAAGAACAAGCTCGGCCTGTTTGTTTGCCTGCCTGTGAGAAGCTTCGTCTGGATTTAGCTCCGTGATTTATTTCAATTACTGATGAAAAAAGACTTCTCGTGAGTCAAATACTTTATTATTGATTTAGTTCCAAGCTGCTGCTGCCAGAGGCTTGTAACGCTGTAAGTTAGTTCAGTCTGTTAGCAGCTGTAGCTGTTAGCATGTGTAGCTGTTAGCAGCTGTAGCTGTTAGCATGTGTAGCTGTTAGCAGCTGTAGCTGTCAGTATCTGTAGCTGTTAGCATGTGTAGCTGTTAGCAGCTGTAGGTGTTAGCATGTGTAGCTGTTAGCAGCTGTATCTGTCAGTATCTGTAGCTGTTAGCATGTGTAGCTGTTAGCAGCTGTA